TCTGTGGGGTCAGTCACTGCTAGGTTCAGTAGAGTGAAGCCGTTAATGAGACTGGAGTTGAAGGTGACTTCTTGTCACCCCATAATGGAAGCTTTTGAGTACCTTCTGTGTCTGTCCCAGATAGTACTTGTGCAGGACACAGATGGCTGCTGCTTCTTCCCACCTATCTTCCTACCCATTGCTTTCTTTGTGCTGGGTAGAGACAATAAGAGACCACTGTCTCTATCTTAGGAGTCCCTGGGTGGTGCAAATGCTTAACATGCCAAGCTGCTAACAGAAAGGTTGGAGATTCAAGTCCAGAGGCACCTCAGAAGAAAGGCTTGGCAATCTGCTTCTGAAAGATCATCTATTGAAAACCCTAAGGAGCACTGATCTACTCTGACACACATGGGGTTGCATGATTCAGAATTGACTTGATGGCAACTGATTTGGTATTTCTGGTTTCCTGTATATCTTAGTTTGCAGAAAACAGAGAAAAATCACAGGCATCTTTGATTTTCTTTTTTTGACAGGAGCAATAGATTTTGTTTCCTTCCCCACCTTTGTCTCTTGGATCCTCCAGCATATGGCTATAAAATTATTAAGCAACCCAACTTTCCTGTTGTACATTCTTTGTGCCCTAGGAAGAAGTTTTATGGATTGTTTCTTATTAGTTGTAAAGTATACTGCCTAGGGCCCTGGTCTTGGTTTTGGTGCTTCACTGTCTTTCCACTTGTAGGCCTGGCATTAGGTCTATCTTCAATCTTAATTTTGAGAGTTCTACATGTGTCGCTTTCTCTCTTGAATGCTCTGAATGTTCTGTTGGAAATATTTATAAATTAAGCCACCATTTTCCTATTATTTCCTCTGACTACTAAAATTGGCACTGTCTTATTGTTAGAAGAAGTGGTAGCTGTATTGATTTTTTTAGGTGATGAGGATCTGGAAATATTACACGTATGAGGTGGGTTTCTAACCTAAACCTTGTGTGCCTCCACTAGATTATGAGACTCTTGAAGGTAGGAACTAGGTTTCCAGCTTAGTATAGTCACAACTATCATTTATTATGCACCTACTATGCACCAGAGACTTGACTTTAGTTATCTCAATTCATTCCCATAGAAGAATGTATAAATGAAGTCATCTCAATTAATTCCCATAAAAGAATGTGTAACGAAGCCTATTTCAGAGAGTTTAAGGAAATTGTCCAAGGTCATCTAGCTAGTAAATCACAGAGGTGGATTTTGAAATCAGTTTGACTTTACAGTCTCTTTTCCACATCATCTCTCTGAACTCTTTCTTAAAGGAAAAGATAGATGCAGATAAGAGGAATAGGATCTTGGTCTGTAGAAGGTTGGAAGGTACTGTTGTGTTGGGTGCAGTTATAGTGCTGGATTCTTCAAGATGAGAGAAGGTTTTAGTATCTTCAAAGCCCTTGCTTTCCCTACTAATCCACACTGACTTACATCTGTGCATCAGGGGTATACATGGGCATTTAGTAAAAATTTGTTGAAAACATGGACCCTATTACCCTCAAGGCAGGAGTCATCCCTACAGAAGGTTTTAGCCCATATGTAGGTCTTCACTTCATGCTTTTTGTTCAGAGAGACCCTCTGATTCTATGACAGTGTTTCTCACTGATAAAACCATGGACTGAGGCAACTAGGCAAACCCTGAAGAAGACTGGAGTGAATCCATGGTGAGAAGACATTCTGGGGGGTCAGGTCTGTGTTGGAGTCAACCTTAGCTTCAACAAGAGATCAGGAGATGCTCTTCACTCAGCACCTATGCCTATAGTTTAGTCCATCAGAATGCCCCCATTGGCTTTGGCAAGCAACGGGAGGTATATAAATGCTTTACAAATCTGACACTTTGTTGAATGTGCCCAGAGAACATTTTTCCTTAATGCATTTGGAAACTACAAATTTAACTCCTGCTGGGAGTAGAAGTAATTGCTTCACATAAGAAAAAAGTCAGCTCTTTAAAAGACTTAACTCCTTTCACAAACATGTGCTTTTTAATGACTGGGAAATTCCTGGTACAGGAAAAAAAATGTCCTTTTGTACAGATGAGGTCACTGGGTCTTAGCTGGCCCTATGCACTCTAGTTCCTGCTTTCTGTTCTATGTTTTGTGACCAGAGGTTACTGGAGGGATAATCCCTCTGTGGATATTCACTGCTTTTTGGGCATGTTGCCAAAGGGAAAGATATCTTGGCTCAGAAACTGCCAAGCCCAGTGTAAGGGCCCAGATCCCAGGGGTGCCGAGCCAGTGACTGATAATGACTTGGTTTAGGTTGGTCATGGGTTGGGTTTTTAAACCCCACAGTGGTACTAGTGAACATAAAATGTGTGGTTTAAAAACTGTGTCTGCTTCATTCTCACTAGATTTCTCAACAGCTCCACTGCTTCTTGGTTCAAGAATGATTTTTTTTTTTCCCTAAGTGCATTGCATTTACTCTGCGTTTATTCTATTGAGTAGAAACATCTGTGCCAATGTGCGGTCTTGTGCTCATCTTTTTAGCTTGGAGTAAATGAAAAGCAGCTGCTGAAAGGAGGTGCACATGCCATTTCCTTTAAACACGTGGAGACTGATTCTGCCTAAAATTAACTTTTGGGTTGCGTTGGCTTGGCCAAAGTGAAGAATATGTCTGAGGTCATGGATTTACTTGGTGACGGGGTTCTGCTAAATGGTAGTGTAGAGTAGGTAGATCTTAGTGAATGCCCTGATTTAAATTAAGCGCACTTTGCTCCAGTTTTACAGTAACCTTTTCTACCAAGGAGGATGTTAAAGACTTGAAGAGTATTAGGCAGGAGATTGTTACATCTGTCGTGGATGTTTTCACAAGGAGGTGAACATGGAGGGGGTTTAAGTAAATTTTGACAAAGAATGAGTTAAATAAACCTCTGTGGTCTCTTTTGATTTCTATGTTTTTAAGACAGCCACTTTAAAGGATGAAAAGTAAACTGATATTGATTAACTGCTTCTTAGGTACCAGCACTGTACTAAGCCATTTATGTATATTATCATTTTGGAAAGTACGTGACTCATCTAGGGTCATGTAGCTAATTAGTGACAGCCCATAAAGATTACCAAGCCACCATGCTGACTCACATTTTGAAGGGTTTGTGTTAGGGTAGTTTTATCCCCCAAATTCATCCTTGGCTGTAATGGTTCATGTTTTGATAAGCCTTTGATTGCTTCGTTTCTGATAGATTGACTACGTTGTTGTTGTTGTTAGGTGCCATAGAGTTGGTTCCGACTCATAGCGACCCTATGTACAACAGAATGAAACATTGCCCAGTCATGCGCCATCCTCACCATTGGTATGTTTGAGTTCATTGTTGCAGCCACTGTGTGAGCCCATCTCGTTGAGGGTCTTCCTCTTTTTCACTGACCCTCCACTTTACCAAGCATGATGTCTTTCTTCACGGACTGGTCCCTCCTGATAACATGTCCAAAGTACATGAGATGAGGTCTCGCCATCCTTGCTTCCAAGGAGCCCTCTGGCTGGACTTCTTCCAAGACAGACGTATTCGTTCTTCTGTCAGTCTATGGTGTATTCAATATTCTTTGCCAACACCACAATTCAAAGACATCTATTCTTCTCTGGTCTTCCTTATTCAGAGTCCAGCTTTCACATGCATATGAGGTGATTGAAAAATATCATGGCTTGGGTCAGGCGCACCTTAGTCCTCAAAGTGATATCTTTGCTTTTCAACGCTTTAAAGACGTCTTTTGTAGCACATAGATTGACTATAGGTTTTTGTTATTTAAAAATTCATTCTGTTGCGCTGAGAGTTTGGTTCTTCTTATCGTAACTTGTTAATAAAAAATCTGTGTTCTGGGATATTTGTGTCTCTTTCTTGACTCTCTAGACCTGAAACTCCAAATCACACTCTGCTACCTATATAAGTCTAAGACACATTTACCTAAATCTTGATCTGGGATTAAGAAATTCTGTCTTGAGCTGTCATGGGGAGAAGATTACTAAAGTCAGCTGTAAGCTGTTTGGGTATTTGCCACAGGTTTCATTCCTTACCCCAAAGCCCTTGGGGCCCTTCTTGGAGGCTCCAAAACCTAGCTTGAAATGCCTTGGGACATGGGGCGAAGTCAGGCTGACCCTGCTTGAAGTGATGCTGTGGAACCCTGGACCGCCTGCTTCCCATCTGCTCTAGCCTCTGAATTAGTCCCTTCAGATACACAAGTTATGGGTAGGGGGAAGATCATGTAATTTAATATATCTCTTAATATGAAGTTAACTATTTTAACCCTATTGTCATGTGCTAGATCACCCTTGAAAGTCCTGTTAAAGCATAAAAGAAAACATTAGGATGTACCATTTCATTTCAGTCAGTCATTACCATATTCAGATTATCCACACAGGAAAGGAAGAACTGTGACCAGTGACAGATTACCCAGTAAGCAAGGTGTGCACGGGCTTCATTGTGCTTATTTACTAATCCGTAGTGCACAATTTCACCTGGTTTTCACCACATCTGGCTTAATTGTGTTTACTCACTAATCTGTAGTGCACATTTTCACCTAGATTTCACCACACAAAACAGAGGTGAAATTGTGCACTACAGATTAGTGAGTAAACACAACTAAGCCCATGCTACCTTGCTTACTGTAAGCTGGTGCATACCTTGCTAACTGGTTAATCTGCCCCCGACTGTGACCCATGTTTCTTCAGTACACCTCCCCTCAGCCCTCCTGCCCCAAGGCCTAGGTTTACTGTAGGCATTCAATGAGTATTTTATTGAGCTTAATAGCTGGTACAAAACAATTGGAAAAAATAGGGCTAGGAAATACTATCATACTTGAAATTGGGAAATTCTGGGTAATTGCTGAATGCCTCGTATTCATTCCTGTGGGGAAAATATGTGGCAAGATGCAAAATGGGTTAATTCTGTGAAGCAAAAACTCTTACAAGATAAATCAGAAGCTCTGTTTCTGCCTATGATACTCAGAATGGTACTGGCACTGATTTGCTGATAATGTATTCGTTATTATTTTGTAGCCTCAGACGATACAGCAAACTCTCAAGAGGACATTGCAGTATTATGAGCATCAAGTTATTGGGTAAGTAAAAATGGATTTCGGTCATTACTGGGGGAAAATTAAAGGTAATTGCTAACATAGTTGTTGAGTGTGTGGTTTTTCTGCCATCCAGGTCAGCCTTATTTCAGAGTGGCTATGTTCTCATGGAGCCCTGGTGGCACAGTGGTTAAGAGCTCGGCTGCTAACCAAAAGGTCAGCAGTTCGAGTCTACCAGCTGCTCCTTGGAAACCCTATGGGACAGTTCTTCCCTGTCCTGTAGGGTCGCTATGAGTCAAAATCAGCTCGATAGAATGAGGTTTTATGTTCTTATACCATTAGTTGGAATCAACTCAACAGCAACTGATTTGTTTTTTTTTTTTTGTTTTTGTTCTCATAGTGTGGGGTGGAGGCTTATGGGGGTCCTTTGGAGTGATTTCCTTTGACTTATTTGTGTTTAATCCTTTTAAACAAAACTCCACTTTGGTAGGGTTTTTTTTTTTTTTTTCCTTCTCATGTTCTTACACTCTTATTGCAACATTGAGTCTCGTAATTTTGCCTTAGTAATGTGGTAATGTTTAATGTACCAAATGAGAGACTCTTTGAACTGGATTTTAGAATCCTTAAGCAAAGTTTAAGCAAAGTCACTACAAGCTTAACACAGTTCAATGAGAGGTATGTGGTTTAGCTAGGGTCACGTGCTACATATTTTTCTTTTTTACCCCCTACCCCCCTTTTTCTTTCCAAAGAAGCAGCTGTGATGTGGTGTAAAGTAAGTAGACCTGAGGACAAAAGATAGGAATTCAAGGCCTTACCAGCATACAGAACTTTTAATAAGTAACTTTATCTCTTTTGTGAAAAAGTGATGATTTTAATAATTAAATCAAGGATGTATATCATGATTAAATAAGACAATTTCAAAGAAAGAAGTTTATAAACATAAAGCTCCATATTAATGAGAGGTATTGCTTTGACTGGCACATTGCTATGATTCAAATAAGAAAGATAAAAACTGTCTGGCAGAAAACAGTTGACAAATGCAAGAGTCTAAATTTACTTTAAGAGTCCTTAGGTGGTGCAATGTTTAATGCACTTGGCTGCTAACCAAAAGATTGGAGGTTTGAGTCCACTTAGGAAGAAGGGCCTGGAGATCTACTTCTGAAAAATCAGCCTTCTAAAACTCTATGGAACATATTTCTGCTTTGACGCACATGGGGTCACCACGAGTTGGAATTGACTTGACAGCAACTAACAACAGCAAATTTACTTTCCCATGTAGTCTAGCTTTTAAAATTAAATTCATTGATGTTAGAGCCAATGCATATTTTTAATTCACCTTGTTCATATGCTCTGTGTACTACAGTGATTTATCATTGTAAGATTTTAGAACTTTCTAAGAGTCAATATTCAAACCGTGGTACTTCTTGAAATGCTATCAGGAATCATTTAAAATTTATGGCTAATTGTTATTGCCATGGGGATCAAGAATATATTTTTGGTGTAGAACAAAATTCGAATGCACAAAAAAATACCCGGCTTACTGGTCTGACGGAGACTGGAGAAACTCTGAGAGCATGGCCCTCTGACACCCTTTTAACTCAGTACTGAAGTTACTCCTGAGGTTTACCCTTCAGCCAAAGATTAGGCAGGCCTATAAAACAAACAGTAATACACTTAGCTCAACTGTGTATACGAGACTAAATGGGCAAACTAACCCAGGGACAAGGATGAGAAGGCAGGAGGGGACAGGAAAGCTGGACAAATTGAAATGGGGAACCCATGGTCGAGAAGGGGAGAGTGTTGACATGTCACAGGATTGGCAAACAATATCACAGAACAATATGCGTATTAATTGTTTAATAAGAAACTAATTTACTCTGTAAACCTTTACCTAAAGCACAATAAAAAAAAAAAAGTTATTTTTGGCTATTAGGGTATAGTGTGATTTTTCACAAAGCAAAAGGGAAGAAAACTTAATGGGAAAATAATCTCACTACCTAGTACGATGCCATGTACTTTAAGTGCTTGATGATTATGTTAACTGTTATTTCAAAGGAAATTTCTTTGAAACTTTGTCATACAAATCCTCAAGGGTGCAGTACTAGGAAAACCACATTATTTAAACTCAGGCAATGGCTTTTAGTTTGAGGCCACAAATGATTTTAAATAGTTTATCCTAATAGAGGTAAAGAGTGTAAAAGTAATCTCTCCCACACATTCAAAAATAAAACTTAATCATTCTCATTGAATTTGCTGCTTTCAAAGTACGATGTTTGGATTAAATTAACCAACCTATATAAAACACTTAGAACAGTTTCTAGTATGTGGTAAGCACTGCATCCTGTTTGCTTTTATGTTTATTATTGTTGTTATTATTAAAATTTTTATGACAATACTAGTAATCAAACTAAAATCATTTTCTAGAATTATGGATGGTTTCTCTGTTTCGAACGATAATGACTAAAATATTCCCACTTGTGAACTAAATTATGTCTTCAAGGCAAATTGGAGTGGAAATCTTATAAATGTGATTAAAATATGTAACCAATCTATATTACCATAATTGGCAGAAAATTGTTTTTTCCATTAGTGAAATGAGAGTCTCCTTTATCTAAATAACTGAATCAGCTCTCCTCTTCACTCCATTTATGTAGACATAGCCTGTGGTGAGTCTTTGTTCATTGTCCGAATTGTCTTTTCCTAGTTTTGTTTACTGCAGACACAGTATAAAGAAGGCAGACTCCAATATAAAGAGGTGGTGTCGAACTAGCTCCAAATAGGCCTATTAATGTATTTTTGCTTGGATGTTGGCTAGTTTCTGAGGACTTGCAGTACCTTTGCTCACTGCCTTTGTTTGTACTTACGCTGCTGAAGACAAAAAGAGTTAGTTGGCAGCAACATTGTCACATTTTACCTTTCTTGACTTTATTTTCCCCCTTTTTTCCCTTTTCCCTCAGGGATAGCTTCCCTGTCCAACTCCCTCTTGCTTTTTAGACTCCATCTTTCCACTTTCTATTTCTTTTTCCGAAAACAGAAAGCATCTATTACCACTAATGCTTGACTAAAGTGTATTCACACTATGTGTTGTTTCTCTTAAGAAAATACAGTTTAAGCCATTTTATCTCTAACTGCAAAAAGGAATGTTTGTTACAGTTAAAAGTATTGTTTTATGTATTTTTTGGGGAGGTGGCCGTGGAGAGGGGAATGTTTTCTCTAATCTCTGAAATTGGGCCTTGCCTAAAGCTTTTCTTGAAGCAATTTGCCTTTTAGGGTACCTTGGGTATTGTTAGCTGCTGTAGAGTTGGCCCCGACTCATGGTGACCCCATGCAGAATGCCATCCCAATGATCTGTTGGAGATCAGACCATTATAAGCCATAAAATTTTCATTGTGTGATTTTCTGAAATAGCTTGCCAGGCTTTTTTTCCTAGTCTGTCTTAGTCTGGAGGCTCTGCTGAAACTTGTTCAACATCATACCAACATGCAAACCTCCACTGACAGACGGGTGGTGGCTGCGCATGACGGCATTGGCCAGGAATGGAACTTGGGTCTCCTGCATGGAAGGTGAGAATTTTACCACTGAACCACTATTGTCTTGGGTAGGGACGATGAATCAGAATGGATAAAAGAGACTAGACATTCTCTTTTTAATTTCTTAACTCAACCTCCAACCACTGATCTTCTCGCCTCCTTTTTCTCTTCTTTAAAACTCTGTATCTGCTTGATTTGTTAGCGCTCCAGGATTGTGTAGTTCTGCTCTTCATGGATTCTTGTACCCGTAGCCCATGTAGACTGTCTGAGGCTCTTTTAGTCTCTCAGGATGCAGACTGGAGCACAGGGAGCAGCTGTTCAAAGGATCACACAGATGGAAGGATTGGGAGGGAGCCTCTTGTTAGGGAGTAAGATAGCCTCTCTGTACCTCAGTGATTTTATCTTTAGACATTTACTCGATACCCTCATTTATTTATTCACTCATTCATTTATTCATAGAGATGATTCAAGTTGGCAAAATGAGTGCTAAAAGAATTTATTAACGCCATGTGATAAAAGTCTTCTCTTCGTCTCCACTCTCACTATCATCTCTCACTAAAGATTCTGAACCATTTTTTCTGGCTTCTACTCCTATCTCCCAACATTCTATTTTTATCACAGCCAACTGATAAAAAATTAGATCATGTCATTTTTTTTTTTTTTTTTACTTTAAACCAGTGATTCTCAAACATTAATGGGTATCAGAATCACCTGATCAGATTGTTAAACCAATAATTACTGGGCCCCATCCTTAGTTTCTGAATCCTAAGTCCTCTGAGGGAGGGGCTCAAAAATTTGCATTACTAACAAGTTTCCAGGTGATAATGCTGCTGCTGGTGCAGGGATCACGCTTTGAAATCCGGTCTTTAAACCCTGTAATGGCTTACTATGGCAGAATAAAATAAAAATTCTTTCTGTGATCCAGCCTCTGCCTGTCTTTGATTTCATCCTCTTCCGCCACCACTACCCTGTTTTGACTCCACTCCAGCCACTCAAGTCTTCTGTTAGTTTCTCAACTATACCAAGCTTGCTTAGCCTCAGGAGCGTTTGCACATCCTGTTTCAGTTTCCTAGAATTCTCTGTCTCAGATGTTTGGATTTTTTTTTTTTTTTAATCTCTAGGTCTCTAATCAGATGTTATCTCTTCAGAAAGATCTTCCCTGAGCACCCAGTCTAAAGTAGCCCTCTACCCCACTCCAATCTCCAACCTCAGCCACTTTTCTAGTATATTATCCTCTATTATTTCTTTTCGTAGTGTTTATAATTAGCTGGAATTATCTTGGAAACCCTGGTGGTGCAGTGGTTAAGAGCTATGGCTGCTAACCAAAAGGTTGGCAGTTCAAATTCACCAGGTGCCTTGGAAACCATATGGGGCAATTCTACTCTGACCTATAGGGTCTCTATGAGTCGGAGTCGACTCAATGGCAATGGGTTTGGTTTGGGTTGGAATTACCTTGTTTATGTTCTTATTTGCCTGTTTATCTTATTTACTTATATATTTCTGTGCCTTGATAAG